GCATTTTTCCTCAGCACATCATAGTTATGCTAGGATAGATCACTTCTTTATCTCTGCTTCTCTTGTGCCTCTGGTTGCCTCCTCCACCATTAGGGAGACGGCATGGTCAGACCACTCTTTGGTGTTGATGGGACTCACTACACTATCACTAGCTGCTAAACCTTTTTGTTGGCACTTGAACGAATCTCTATTGGGGGAGGCGGTAGTACAGGGTGAGGTCCATTCGCACTTGGAATCCTATTTTGTTATTAATGCCACACCTGATATGTCCCCTACTATTGTATGGGCGGCCCATAAGGCGACAATTCAAGGCCGACTAATGCAATTGGCTACCAGAATAAAGAAGAGGGCAACCAGACGCATAAATGAACTGGACACGGAACTTCAATGTTTATCTCGGGCTCATAAGCAGACTCCGTCATTAGATCTTTTTAAATCCCTGGATAAAACTAGATTAGAATTGAACTTGTTACTAACTACTAAAGCGGAAAAAGGTATTCGATGGTCAGATAACAAATATTATGTCCATAAAGACAAAATTGGCACCCTCTTAGCCACTAAACTACCCCCTAAACCTAGAGTTTACACGTTCCCTAAAATTCGATGTACCTCTGGTGCATACTCATTACATCCAGCAACGGTTCTTCAGGAGTTTCACTTGTTTTTCACTAAACTCTATCAGGATAACACTCCAGTTTCATCTGATTCATTGAGATCATTTCTCAGTGAGGTTCACCTTCCATCCCTATCATTTGATCATTCCATGATTATGGAAGCACCCATCTCGGCACTGGAAATTAAACAAGCTATCAAGCAGGCAAATTGTCATCGGCTCCGGGTCCGGATGGACTGCCTGCCTTATATTATAAGAAGTTTTCGGATGTCTTGGTGCCTCACTTGGAGAGATTCTTTAATGAAGTGAGACGGGGGAGTCCCTTACACACAAATTTAAATAGGGCATATCTTATAGTTCTCCCTAAACCCAATAAGGACCTTGATAAACAATGATTTAAAACTCCTAACTAAAATTCTTGCTAATCGATTGAGCTCCTTCCTACCATCCTATATTCATAAGGATCAAGTGGGCTTCATTAGGGGTAGGCAAGGCCCCGATCAAATTAGAAGGGCCAAAAATCATTAATTAGTTAAACAAACATGTTTTTCGTTTATTTACAAATAGAGTTCATCTACTTCCTGGTCCACTTTGGCACAAATGATGTAATGTGCCCAAGAGTTGTATCCTGGGAAGGTTACATCAGCAGAGCATTGCTGGGAAATCTCATGTGTAATATCATGAGATCTCGGGGAAAGGCATTTTCCTCCCCTGAGATGATTGTGTATACACATGTCGTAGTGACATGTGTCGGTGTTCCAGGTAGTAAAGGGAGATCTAGTAATCTGGCCTTAGTAGAAGACTGGGGAAGAAAAGAGAACTAAGGTTTGCAAAGAATACAAAGCCGGCAATTATCTAGAAGTATCTGTTTGTAGATTGCCATTACTAAACCTTTCAAAATGTGGCTTTGTTGTTATTTTAAAGGTATGGGTGAAGATCCTAATAACAAATTGTAAGGAATGTACTGGGGGTCCCCAGTTCAAATCCCAATCAGGACACTATCTGCAAGGAGTTTGTATGTTCTCCCTGTGCTTCCATGTATCTTAAATGTATATTATTTGTGAATAATAAATTATTATTTTTTACATAATAGCATAAGAGTTTTTTTTTTTAAAGCCCCCCCCCTTTCAGGCCCTTGCATACCTGAAAGTGGTAATCATTTACACAAAGTTACACACAATTATATTGGGGTGTGAAACTCTTTGCTCTCTTTCTCTGCTTTTTCCAGCACACGCCCACTAATGTTAAAACAATACAAATCATGGTGTCGCTCAGCCACCCTTGTGTTAGATACATCTTTGACAGCTTCAGGGCATAGATGAACAGTTTCTTAGTCAGGATTTGCAGTCAAAAGATGTTGATGGTATTGGGTTGGAGGGCTAAGCTGAGCAACACTGCATGGTGTCTCTGGCAAATGGCTGGCAGTTTTTGATTCTGTTTGCTGGACAACCAGAGTGAGAACAGAAGTCACACATGGTACTATGTATTTATCAAGCTGCTTGTGTTATATGGCTCTTTAATGTTCACAGAGTAATTCTAGGGTGAACTTCCACTTTAAGTAAACCAACCCCTATGTCTACTTCAAGCTGCTGTAGTCTTCTTTGGGCAGTACCTCCAAATTTGCTTTCTTTACGTTTTGTAAAACAATCCCAACAAAAGAAATGGATTATGGAAAACTTTCAAGTTTTTTTTATTTTACCATTGATGTTTTCTATTACTATTTCTTCACAGAAATAATATTACTTTTATAGTTTGTTTGTTTTTGTGGAAACAATTACTCATAACAAACAATCTAATAGAATCACCATTTGTTCAGTACTGTATAACATGCTTTTCTAGTTAATTCTTACTTAAATATGAAATCATTTGCATGTTTAGAATTAGAATTGGCTCTGCCTTTTAGGAACTCTTATTTATTGTTTTTGTGCTCATTTTAGTATTTTAGGCAGCTTCTGGAAGGTGCAGAGTCTCCAACCCGCAGCTCAAAATGTAACAGGTATAGCTGTAGATTATTGAAATATCAATGCGTATCATCTTTGTGTGTGGGAGTGCATGTATAGCTTGTATAGATAGTAAACCCCAGCAGCAAGGTAGAGGCACACACAGCTTTTCATTTTTGATAGCAAAATAAAATGGTTGTTACTGACATTTCTTTGGATAGTGGTGTATGAAATAGTAATATTGACAGTGCTGTTTTACTTGGTAATTTAATTTAAAACCATCTCTTTATTTTTTCCTTTTTTTTTTTTTCCAATTTGATTGTTGATGTGCGATATACACTAGAAAAGATAGACATGACTCTTAAAATTGATTTCGTAAAATTGTTAGCTAAAGTCTATGAATAAAATTAGGCCTGCATGATGATATTCCTTATCATGCAGCCCTCCTTAGAGAGAGAGTGTCTCCTCTTTTTAATCCTCTGTGCTGTTAGAATAGAAAGATTATAGTGAATTGACTATTCGTAACATATGGTATCTAATGTGAACAAAAGCTGGGTTGTCAAAAAATGTCTATTGATAGTATTTACCCTAATTTGTGTAAAATTTTCAGGAAATTACACTTCAACTGAAAATCTATAAAATATATCCTTTTATGGTACAGGTCTAAATGTATTTTCCTTGCACATGACTTACTTTGAACCTAAAGTGGAAGTCAAGCCAGGAAATATTGATGAATATTTTTATGATGTACCCACTCATTGTAGCTTGTTATAGACTCTTTGCTCCTTTAATGCAATGTAGGGGATTCTCATGGCTTCTGCCTTAAGTTAATTAAGCAAAATTTCAATGTTTGGGTTTAACCTCTTGGTTCCCCCTCTGTTCTTCCTGCCCACCCATTAGCTGACTGGTTGGCTGTGATTCCTCGGGTACATTGAATGATGGGACTTGTGGAGCACAGGAGAGTAATTTTCGTACTCGTTCCTTCACAGGTGCCAGGATGGTCAGTTAGTGATGATGTAGGCAGCCACCATTTTGATTAATTTTAGCAACAGAACTAAGTTAGGCAGACCACGGCAAAGTCTTAATTTATTTAGAAAAAAGGTATAGTGTTTATATTGCTGATTTTAATACGTCTGCTAGGTGCATTAGAGTATCAATTTAAAATTGTCCTCTAAAGCATCTATCTTAAAAAATGTAAAAAAAAGTACCACCTGTAAAAGAAGGTTTTCACCCTGCTCCAATGCCCCTTCCTGTGATTTAAGCCTCTTGACATCCCACACATTCTTCCTGCCAGGCCCTACATCTCTGAAGGGCATAGTAATGATGTAGAGGGTCTGTGGATGGCACCATAGCACTAGGTGGGGGGATGCAGGCATCTGACATTCCTGATTGTGTTGGATGTAAAGATTTTGCTGCAGTCTGTAGCTGTTGATAAGAGCAAAGAATGGAGGAACTGGTGGCAGGACAGGTGAGCCTAAACCTTCTTTAACTATTATGTTCACTTTAATGTTCGAGTAAAACAACTATTATATTCTGTGATACAGTCAAGTATCCCTTGATCAAGCAATAAGCTAGTATTTAAACATATTGACTGTAAATTGTATTTCCGTGTACCCATTGCAGAAATAGCCTGAGTTTGGATGATATACGGTGAGTTCTCTGACAGCATGTTGGAACTGCTTCACTGTGTAGTATCGTGATTGCACTTTTGTACTTCGTATGTCTACACTTCATTAGAGGAAGTTTCTGTCCTCTTTTACCCTACCTGGTATATGTAATAGTGAGCACGCATACTCAGAAGAACTATAATATACAGTATTCCGAAAAACCCACAGCATTCATTTAGCACGGTACTGTCTAGCTCAGCCTTTGAAGGCCACAATCATGCCTCAGTTGTAGGATTTCTCTAAATAAAAAAAGTAATGGTATTAGTAAGGTTTAGCTTCCTTTATCAAGATGTTTACCAAAACATTCATGGCAATATGTGACATTTGATGTATGTAGCTGGACTGGAAAGCCCTGGTATAGAGCAACATGGAAAATATCTTCTGATTACTGGCTTAAAGAAATTAGAACAGAAACCCCCTACACATTATATGAGCTCTACACTGCAGCAGACTCCTTTGCCATTGTGATGGTGGAGACCAGCAACAGACAAATAATGTATGTTGGATAATTTTAGTAATGAAGGATACATATACTATCAAGGGTGAAAATAGGATATGACGCCTCTAATATATACTGCCTTTACATTTTGCTTTTAACAAAAAGCTACTTTTATATTAAGTGGAACCTCTACTTCTACACCAAATGAAACTGGAGCCAGTGGTTAAAGAAGAGGTTTCTTTGACAGGTTTTATGAATATATTGTATTGAAGTAACAGGGAAGACTTGTAAAGGCAGTATGCCGGGCTTGTTATATCATTCTACTTAAAGCATGGCAGCAAATGACTATGCTGGTCCTGAAAATGTTGACACAAGATCCTTCTAACATGGCTGCCTGGATTTATCTGGTTATCGTCATTTTAACATAGTTGTATATGCATAAACAAGAATGTAATTGTATGTTGAGAATGTCTGTCTGTGTTGGCTCAGCTGTATGAATAAATACCCATCTATGTCCTGTAACTCTCTGTACTAACTGACAGCCTTTACTGTTTCTACTGCTTTGCATCTTATGACGGCAGTATTTTACACTAAGTATGACAGGAGAGAGAGGATATTTTGCTTGTAGTGATTAAGTGTGTCTTCTTTAATATAACATTTTATTCTTAACATTGATAAAGAGAGCCACCTTTGGGCTTATGCAAAAATCTGGATTGCGGTCATAAATTGATAGCTGTACAACCTTACTGATGTAATATTTATATCCGCCCCTATATTTAGCTTTACTTCGTTTGTTTGACGCTACCTTGAAGTCCCAAGAACAAAATGTTATATATTTAATATATTGCAGCTTACCGGTCCTCAGATGAGGTGGCTGCATTAGTTTCTTTTTTTAGATGTTTCTTCCCTTTCATTCATCTGGTGAAGCTACGATACCCTTCATGTCCTAGGCCCTAGGGTAACAACGCTCACTCACTGTACTATATCTATGGTGGTGCAGCGTTGTCGGTCTAGGACAGGACTTCAGAATACCCCCCCATCTTCATAACACAGAGGCAAGATTAACAAGCAATTTTTTCCTTTAACTGTTCCAACAGTTTTAACAAAACACTTTCTATTTTATATTTAACAGGCAGAAGTTCACTGTTGTGGTTAACATGCACTTTAACAATGAGTGGCCATAGGTTGCCTGATGTTTAACAGTTGGTGCGCCGTCAGCTTCCTGACTTCGGAAACTGTCTCATAGCTTCTTAGAATATATAACAGTTGTTAGAAACACCAAGAAGCTCTTTACTACAGGGCTCTCTAATTTTACACTGTTTATACACTCTCAGAAACCGGAAAACTTTGTACAAAGTCGGGTAGTGTCTGTCAGACTTCGATGACCTCAGACTCGGGGTCGGATTAAGAGCATAACGGGCCTGGTGATGACCTCAGACAGTGACTACTGACTCTTAAAGTTTAAGGCTTGGTCTAGACGGACCTTAAAGTGGAAGTAAAGTTAAAAAAACACTGACGGGCATTTTTTTTTTTTAATGACAGAAGAGACTCTAAATATCTTTTCTGCCTTAAATGCTTTGTCAGTATTTCTTTCTTCTTTATCAGTATTTGTGTGCACAGAGCCACTGACAACGTAGAGCTGGAGGGGATCACCTGCCATGTAAGTCTGCCATCATGTGCTAAGATACTGTTCATACTAGAACATTATGGAAAACACCTCCTGGGGGCCCCAAAAGTTCAATTTTAGTTTGATGGTTTAGTACCATTTTAACTCCTATTCATCCAGAACCAAAATATAAAATAATATATAGCCACAATATATTGAATATGTAGAAAGGTATACAGTGTATCAAGAGTCCATAATTGAATGGCTTTGTGTCACTGGCATTTTTTTTTTTTTGCATGTTCCTTGCTACGTTCTAACATGCCCCCTTTTGAGCACATAAATTGCATATATTTACGATCTGCACTTGCTCTGTAGCATTTATTAGCTTTCTGTTTTGATGCTTTGATGCATTTTGTGATGTACTTTATCTCAGGACCACACAAAAAAGAGGTGGGGAAGCCTCTGGCATTGGGAAATTTGGCAGCAAATTAAAAGGAGTCTTCAAGAGCACAACCATGGAAGGGGCCATGCTGCCTAATTATGGTTTGGCAGAGGGAGATGATTATGCTGTAAGTGAAGATTTGCTCTTTGTCCAGCATGTTTTATTGTATAGGCACATTTTCTTCTTAACATAGATCTGTGTAACTGCCATTTACAATAGTCTACAACAATAATTCATTTGAATTGGATTATTGTATACTGCATTGATAAAAGTTAAAGCAGAACTCCACCAAAGTCCTTGAGATACCAGCTGAGACATACGCTTTCTGTAGCAACTAATAAGTGTCTGTGAAGCTTAAAATGTGCCTAAAGACAGGGTGAAAAAAGACCACGAAAAAAATACAGTACACCTTAAGAAAAAAAAAAGTTTAGCATGGTCAGTGGAAACACATGCTCCCTGGATCACTAGATCATTAAAGGGACATTTTGATTACATGTTTTGAGTTCTTAAAATAAAGGTAAACTGAATGTTTGTTTTTGTTGTTGTGCCTTTTACATTTCTACTTGCTTACAGTGCCACTATTTCATGAGGGCATTTCATGCACAGATTTGTAATTTCTCCTTTTAGTAAAAGTAGGTGAAGTGAGCAACTGTTGAACTAAAATTACTTTCTGGTTAATTAATTTACCCCATGTATTGTGTTTAATAAATTCCGCTGAGACTAAGTGAACCCATAAGCTACTAGGATAGTAGAGGAGCAGAGAAGCATAACCTCGGTACTTCACTACTAAATGGAGCCGTAGTATGACTTGCCCAATCTGTTTAGTTAAACCAGATAGGTCAGTGATCTGTGAGTACAGTGTGATTTATGCCATATACCCTCTTGGTGACTATTTTCGTAGGATAAATCGGTTGTATATTTCTGAGTGGGACCTGAAGGAGGAGGGACCTGAAGGAGAAAGTTCTCCATCAGGTCCTACTCTGTTGATTGACAGCAGGCAGTGGGCGGGTACAATAGCCAGCCTGCTATTGCCTATTTAAATATCCAATAGCAGGCTGGGTATGGCTCCCAGCCTCTAGATGCAGAGGAGGAACTGGGTGGGGAAGAGGAGGAATGGGGGCCGGGTTGAGCGGAGGAACAGGTCTGGGTAGCAGGGGAAGTACAGGAGGGGGCAGTGGGGGGAAGGCAGTCACAGAGGTCTCTCCTCCTCGCTAATGCCGGCTGCAGGGGACTGTGTCCCTGCTGCCTCTGCCAATACAGGCGGGGAGAGCAGCGGGCATTAAAAGGGACACAGACCGCTGCAGCCAGCACCAGCAGGGAGGAGAACGGAGGAGCAGAGCGGCAGCAGCAGCTAATGCATGATGAGAATTGTTGCCAGCTATTCTCATTATCGATTATAATCGATTAGTTGTTGCAGCCCTAATTGGGAGAGTATTGCGTAATCTCCCTGCTTCAGTTTCGGTTTCTCTTTCAATACCGTTCTTTGAAAGGTATTTTTTTTATTTTTTCAGATTGAAGAAGGTACTGTGGTATTAGAAGATGATTCCCCTGTGGACGTTCCCAGTGCAACTACCCCAAATACCCCTCGTAATCTTTCTGCATGGAATATCAGCATCCCTTTTGTGGACCTTGAAAACTATGATGACTTTGAAAAAAGAGATCGAAAAGAGAGAATGCCTGTATATGTTATTGATGTTGAAAGAAATGACAGAACAGCAGGTACTGTATTAACCGAAGCTGTAACTTCTAGTAGGGAGCTTGGAGATTTTTGCAGGGCTTGTTCTTGCTCCTATGGGCAAACAGAGAACCAGGGAAGTGAGGGTATGGTAGACAGAACCAGTGAAGTGAGGGTATGGTAGACAGATAACTCTTGTGTGGCCCTTTGGTGGAAACAACATGCTTCATCAGGCCCCCAAAATGTAGCAAGGTGACCAACACTGCTTTAGCTCTTAATTTAGCTCTTAATTGTTGAATACATTTGTATTTGTCGGAGTTATTGACTTTATTTATTTATTTTTCGGGGTTATTATACTGTGCGTTGGCAGTGCTCTTATACAGTTCACACTTTAAATTTACATTTTCTGTTATTTTACAGTTGGACATGAAGCTGAACACTGGTCTGTCTACAGAAAGTATATAGAATTTTATGTTCTTGAGTCGAAGCTCACAGAGTTCCATGGTAAGTTAAGTGTTCTGGGCTTGCATTAATGTAATGCAAAGTTATGCATATCCTTAGAGGATATCTAAATTCAGGAACAAAAGTGTAATATATTGCAGCGTAAGTCCTTGGATGTGGTGTCTGCTTGAGTTTTCATTTTTCTGGCTAAGAACATTTTCAGCAACTACAGAAAATACTTATTGGTCTTGCCAGAAATGGAATGTCCCTGTCACTTCCTATGAGCTGAAATAAATGCACAATTATTTTCTACCTTCCAAGCTGCCTTCTGTAAACTACCAATTCCCTTCCCCCTGTGTAATAGAGATTAATAGAAGAAGGCATATTTGTAGTCCACATCAGCAGAGTTCCCTCTATAGATACAGTGGAGGTACCTAGGGATAGGAAGTGTGTTATTGGTAGGATTACCAGGTGAAAATGCCAGAAAAAAGAAAACAAATACTGGCAACTCATCTCAACTCAAATGTTTGTTTTTGGGTTTAATGCTTTAATTTTTTTTTAATGGCTGTAGTTTGGCTTGCCCAAGAGTCGGACAATTCTTAACCTCTTGCCGTCCGCCCGTAGTAAAAAAACGGACGGACGGCACTGCTGCATCTGCGGGTTGCCGTCTCCAGACAATTTTTTTCTGCTCGCGCGCGCCCCCTAGCGGGCACGCACGGGCAGAAAAGACCCGATCAATGCACACACCCGTTACCGGGTGTTTCACATATAGGCGATCAGCGGATCCATAGCCCGCCGATCGCCTATATGTGCTCGTTCGCGGCACCCACCCATCAATCACTGATAACACTAAACTGATGAGCGGTAACAGCTTTTAAAGCGTCGCCTATGGCCAATTTTGGGTATTATCGTTTTTTGAGGTTTCGCGCGCGCACGCAATTTTAAGGCTTGACATGTTTAGTGTCTTTTTACCCGACGTGACCCCGTCTTTTATATTTTACCAAAAAATTGGGTAATAATAAATGTTTTATCATTTAATATAGGGGAAACTGTTTGTTTTTTTAAATTTCGGTAATTTTTCCTTAATATAGTAAAAAAATAAAACCCCCAGTGGTGAATAAATACCACCAAAAGAAAGCTCTATCTGTCCCCAAAAAAGGGTATAAAATTCATTTCAGTACAGCGCTGCATGACGGAATAAATTTCAGTCAAAGTACCGCAGCGCTGAATACTGAAAAATGGCCTGGATGGGAAGGGGGTTTAACACCGCGGATGTCAACTGGTTAAAGGTGGCATGAAAAATAAATCTGCTGCAAATCCTGAATTTGACTAAAATAAGGATTTACATGTTTGTTTTTTTTCTGGCGAAAATCATGAATGGCTCACTTTACACTATACACATTTTATGGACCTTTATGTGCGTACCTAAGAGTGTAGATGTGTTCCTGAATGGCTTGGGCTTATTATTGTCATCTAGCAATACAGGTATAGAATAGCCGTCCACTATTGCTTTGCAAAGACCCACTGCCTGAGAGCAAGATGCAGTGGCAGCATGGCTCGTGGTGGAACCACCCATTTGATTAATACTATTCTGGGTCAATAGCTCACAAGGTAACAGAGATAGAAATGACAGTCCCAGAGCTCGCACATATAAAGGCCAACTTCATTTAACCGAACCCACCCCCAACATCTAACTACATCACCCATTTTGGTTTAAAATTTTGTATAAATACCTTTTTGTCTGTGGCTCTTCAGTACGCTTGTGTGATATCACATTTCTCTTCATTGTTTTCTGTCCTCGGCGCTGGGCGGGTCTTGAATGTTGCAGAGTGAGGTGCTGTGGCAATGACATTTGAGCACTTCTGCATTCTCCCATGAGCCCAAGGCAGTTGGATGATGTACTTCAAATGGTGGGTCCTGAATGCCTTGGGCTTCACGAAAGGTTGAACAACAATGGTTGTTATTCAGCCCAGAAGACTGCTGACGTAGAGTGGCAGGAAAAGAATGTCTGGGGGACAACACCAGAGACTATAAAGTATTGCAGCCAGAGCTTCTTTTATATATTACATTTATCAAACCATTTCTTTTGAATTTGTATTAAACTGAAGTTGGGCCTTTTAGAATATCGGAAGCTCCTATATTTAAGTTCCGTTCACTTTAAGCTAGCACTATTCATGAGGGCCCAGCCTTAAAATTCTAAAGTGGTCCAACTTTCTACATTTTCCCATAATGTCTTCCAGGACAGCATCACGAGATGAAATCTCCTCCCCCAAAGACAGGAAACACGGCACACAATCTCTTTAAAAGGGCCCGCCTCTTCTCCAGTCCCTCAGTCTTTGTGTTTCCTCGGTCAAACTGGGGAGCACGTCACGGAGTGGAGGAGACTCCATGTGATGATGTTGCCCTGGAAGGTTCTCTTTGTTTTACGGACCAGATCTGGCTAATCTTTTTTGAGTGGTGCAGATCTGGGTGGGTATTTGTCTTACCTTATGTTTGTGGTCACCAGAAATCCTCCTTGTGCTGTCAGGGGATATGCTGGATCCCTTTCCTTCTTCAGTGCCCAGCGAGGGCCAGGACCAGAGAGACAGAGCCCCCTTGGCTTGGGTTGTGGGGAACGAATGACCGCCTATCAGAGGGGTCTGTTCCTTCCCCGCAGCCTCAGGAAGTGTTCTACTGCCGGACTGGGTGACTGCGTAAGTCCCTTTCGGTGCGGGTGAGTCACTTCCGGGCGCCAGGCTTGTGCGTTCCAAGCCTCATTTTCGGCGCAGAAGGAAGGGGAGGGCTTAGGCTGTGCTGTACCAGCGTGGATCTCAGTAGTGACTGAAAGAGACGCTGGCAGAGTCTGTCTGACACTCTGCAAGGATATATCTGGCATTACCTCTGCAACCGTCGGTGACAGCAGATTCCGGACCGGCTCAGGTATGATGGATTCTTGCTACAGATCTTACCTTCCTGTTACCTCTGATTTATTTTCCTCCACCTGGGATCCCTTGGTGATTGGTGCTTTGGTGTTGAGGGACACTCTTACAGTCTGGGTAGTGAGCAGTATATTTATGGCTACCTGGTTCTTCTCTTGCAGGCTAAAGCTTCAGATAAGACGAAGGTGGCCCCCAAGAAAAAAATTGCCCTTTGTGCTATTTAGATAGAGTATGGAAAGGTTTTAACCTCTTTCAAGTTTTGTTTGCTTCCTTTGCCCCTTGTTGGGGAGATTCCCTCTCAGTTCTTGTCCCAGTAATAACCAGCCCATACGATAGAAAGTAAGGAAATCTCGCCATTTGGCAAGCAGCAGTATTAATAGTATCTGCACAGATGCCAAACCTTAGGTGCACCTCTTTTTCTTGGATGCCGAATCAGTTTTTGATAATGACTTGGATGAGTTAAAATCTCTCCGGTCTCTTTTTAGCCTCCGAGGGGCTGTTATAAAGATTTACTGGAGCATTTTGTGGAAATTGCAATGCAAAATTAATTGTATCTGGCCTTATCTCTCAGGAAATATCCATGAAATAATAGGAACATGTCTGGAATGTCCACTTTCCTCTCTCCTGATTAATTTATCTCTGGAACCTCTGATTATAACTAAAAAAAAACGTCCCTTGTTTCAGAGTGTTAAAACAGGAAATAAGTGTGTTACGCACTTCGATATGCTGACTGTACTGTTGGCATTCAGTCATACATCTTTTATTGACATCTCTAAATATCTTGTCGAAAAAAAAAAAAAGTTTTTTTAGGCAATCAGAATTGATGATGTTAAACGTTTATTTAAATACAAATCTGGCCAAAAAAAATAAGTTAGTTATTCAATTCCTTAAGAAAAAGTTCACTTTTGTTATCTCTAATCTGCAAAAACTATGCTTAACTATTAACTAAATGTATATACCAAGGGAGAAAAATAAGTGACTGTTAGAAAATGCCAATAGATTTGTAGTTGTGTTAAGCAGTTTTTAACAGGCTCTTCATTTATTTTTAACAGGCTTTTTTTCCAGTGCACCACAACACACAGAGCATGTGCATCTGAGCATTGCAGTGTGCTGTAGATATGTGTTAAAGTGCAATTACCTTTTGAATGGCTGAGCACCACAAAGCACATCAACTGCGCAATGCGATTATGGGTGTCAGACGCATGTTATAGTGTGAGCGAGCACTAATTTAAAACTTAAGGTAGCCATACATGACTGAAATTTCAGCCGATTCCTGCTAAATCAGCAGAAATTCAAGCAGTGGGTTTCACTCTTGGCATCACCCAGTTCTACAAAAGTCAATTCAAAAATCGAAGGAGTTGGGTAGAAAATTATCTGCTGAACAATGACTACATCCAATCAGATGCAGTCAATTTTTAGGTATTCAGTCAGCCATATGCTGTCTGAATACAATTACTGGCAGGGGAGATTCCTCCATTCAACAACTGTCGAACCAGCACACAATGATCTTCCAAAGAAACTTAAACTTGGAGATGATGTGCTTAGAAAACTGTTGCAATATGAAGCCCTGTGGATCTTTTATGTATTTGTAATTTTAGATTGCACAGGGACTATCGGTGGGTCACTAGTGTTATACAAATTGTGATTGTCATAATATTTCGATGTTAGCGTTCCCACTGTTATTATGGGTTTTACTGTTTAATTTTTATGGTGTCCACCCATAATTCTGAAGTGTGTATTCTCCTTTTCCTCTGCTTTTGTTTTTAATGTGATCACATGGACTGTATATTAGATACATGTATTCCTATGTGTTTCTCTCCGCCTATTTAAGTGGGGTTGGTGTTAGATCACAACCAGCTATGACTGAGGCTGAGTAAGGCAGAAACGCGTCAGCGGTTCTCTATATAGATGCAAGTGGAATAAAGTTTGAATTTATGTGGAAGATCGTGTGCTGGTTCTACAGTTTGTTTAGCCTATCACTCCAGAAGAGAGTTATGCGTGCACCGAGTGTGGATTACAAGGACGCATGATAGGGGTGAGCTGTGCACACTGTGTTTCTATTCCTCCATTTACACTGTTTAGTGTGGATGGGGGAATCAAGTGAAATCAAAGTGTTTGTGGTTAGCCTAAGGACTTACTCTATCATATCTAAGTTTATTTGAACCTCTTTTATCTAATATACCCAAAATCAGATTTTTACACTTCCTGTCCCTTACGCTCTGCCAGGCAGCATTTACTCCCGACACCTGTGCTGCAGTATTCAGGCACAACTACAGGCTGTGTAGCTATAAATAGGAGAAACAAGTTATACCATTAACCCATAGTGACGGGAGACATACACTGTACGTCCCCGCCACTAAGTGCCCAAATGACTGCTCATGTACACTGTATGTGAGCAGCTATTTGGGGATCTGTAATGCCGGTAACTGCTGAGAATCAGTGGTTACCATTCATTAATGGATGCCTCACTATTGAGGCATCCATTAATGAAAGAGTTAAGCTTTTACAGACACCCTAATCCCCTTAGCTACATGTTTAGCTACATGTTTCTATTCTGAAACAATGTTGCAGGCTTATGATCATTCTGGGAACGACCAGAAGCCTTTAGTGACATTGAACCTGACATGCTGTCCGGCTCAGTGTCACTAAGGTTATTATTGGCTGTTTCTAAGTTTGGAGCAGCCTGGTAATAACCAAAAATGTAATATTTAAATTATCAAGCACTCATAGTGACCCTTACTGAACAGTGACCCTTCTATGCACTAATGCACCCCTTCGCAAAGGATGGACTAACAAGATAGAGCAGGTATGTATTTTATTCATACACATGGAATGTGGGACTGCATTTTATTGGATTCTTGATTAAACCCATGAAAACGCTTCAATTTTTCTCTTTTTTTTCCACTTTTTCATTGGACTGAAAACAAGCACATTTCAGGAAACTTAAAATGGCATTGGCTGTAATTAAACACATTTTGTACCGTGGCAACATGTGAAACAGAAGAGTTTGTAGGATCACTTAAAACACACACTGGTGTTTTCAAATGGATATGTGTAATGTTTTAGCTATATGTGCAGAATTAGTTGATTCATTTTATATATAACCTTATTGTAATTCATAGGTACATTTTATGATACCCAGCTTCCATCAAAAAGGATACTTGGGCCCAAAAACGTTGAATTTTTAAAATCCAAAAGAGAGGAATTCCAGGAATACTTACAGGTATGACCTTATTTCATTTATATTTTTATGAGTACTGTAAGCTGCTAAATACATGCACACAGTATACGTGAACTTGATCTTGACGTCTGTTGTGCAGCTATTTCATCATTTTTATTAGCGGTTTCACGATCAGGGAAGAACACAATCTTTCACTGTAATTGGTGCCAGAATAAATGCTTTGCATAAGAAGCATGCCCTATCAAAATTGCTAGACTGGTACTGGAAGGGGAATGATTGAATCTGAGGGTTTTGTTGCTATGTGTGACCCTGATGGGGCAATTTTCTTAGCTCTTGTTGAGTTACTGATACAGAAAATTGGGGAGCAATAAAAATCTGCCAGAGTTCCTAACCCTTCCCCACTCAATCCAAACATTAGAAAAAGGCTGTATTTCTATTAAATATACTAAACTAGTGCCCTCTGCATACAGCACTTTGTCCATAGGCTATAATGAAAGATGCTGCTTGATTAATTTTACCTGACAGGGTGCACTGCAGGTCAAATGCATTATAGAAGCACAAATATGTTTATTTCAATAGGGTGATTTCACTATTTGCTTTAATTGTAAAAATATTTGTCTTCCCTCATTCCAGAAATTATTAAAACATCCAGAACTTAGTAACAGTCAACTGTTAGCAGATTTCCTGTCGCCTAACAGCCTGGAAACACAGTTTCATGACAAGATGCTTCCAGATGTCAACCTTGGTAAATGCTTTTCTCTGTGCGGCTAGCAATGATGTGTGGTAATCCTTAGTGACCATTCAGCTTTTGTCAGGTTGGAGTAAAGGAAAGCAGAGGTAAAGCTTCACAAAAAACAGTTTGCTGATTGGTGGAAGACACTGTCCAAGTCTCTTCTGCCATGCACGCTTCTTTCTAGTTGTCGGCAATTTTTTAGCCATGATGTAAGATGCTAAGTATCTCCCGTGTGGATGTGCCTTATGTCATCCGTACCTGGCCAATTCAGTGGATGAGGACTCGAAAACCAGAAGAGGACAGCGTTGGAGATGGAAGCCCCAGAGAGGACAGTGGGCCCAATAAGACTGGCAGTTGTAGAGAAGTGCACATTTCCGCATGCCAAATCTAATTGCAATTCACATGAGCTATTATGTTAGAGTACAGAAACCATGATTTTGACTGTCTCGGCACAATACTGCACACCTCCACTGCTGAATATTCACTAACTGATTTTCTAAAAGATTATTTATTTGGTGCTGATCATGCAACTTTTTGTTAAACATTTGGTACACTGGCCGCATCATATTTTTCAAACTCTTCAACTTGAAGTAACATTTAGTGCATTCTTAAACTTGGTTGGGGGAATTTATCAATGTTCCAAAGAGGATCCCACCGCACTCCTTACTGGTATGTCCCTTTTAAAGTGGGTGCTGCAGTGATAGTGGATGGTGCCACTTTAAATCCAAATAGTAAGGTATATCATCAGCACACCAAAGTAAAATCTTCAACGAGTGGTCATTTTAGTGATGTACACACATCTCGTCATAAAGCAACGTTTCGGGGGCCACTCAGGGTCCCTTGATCAGGCATGACTAGATGTGTGTACATCAATAAAATGTAATCCTCCTGTCCCATCGCACTCCTGACTGGACAAAAACCCAAATCCAACTGGGTGGGTGCGGTGGTGACAACGGATGCCTCCGTGAAATGTAGATAGATGAAAGTAGTCACTCGCACTCCATGATATTAAAGTCAATGCTGTTTAGTGACTGAGATAACACACATCTCCTTAGCGACGTTTCGAGACCATGCGGCCCCATCCTGTTTGCCTAAGGAGATGTGTGTTATCTCAGTCACTAAACAGCATTGACTTTAATATCATGGAGTGCGAGTGACTACTTTCATCTATCTACATCAATAAAATGACCACTCGTAGAAGATTTTACTTTGGTGTGCTGATGATATACTTTACTATTTGAATTTATCAATGTTGTCGCATCATCGGTGAGGGGCAAAACTGGAGCAGACAAAATCTGGAGCAAATGTGCAGGGAAACCAATCCGCTTCTCTCTTTCATTTTGAAATCTTAACTAAACAGACTAATGGGAGAAGCTGATTGGTTGCCATAGGCAACTGCTCCAGATTCTGTCTGCTCCAGTTTTGATAAATTCTCCTCAGTGTCTTTTAAACTGTCGCATCCCTGATTTCTGGTGCATATAATGTCAGATTTATTATCCTAGTTTGTTTTGTTCTTAAATGCTTTCATAAGGAGAATGTGCGACAGTTTGGAGGGTTTTTAATGTCACAAATGCAATTACTGTGCAGTTGAGAAATTATGCAAAATGTTGCAAAACATGTGCAGTGAGTTGTAAACATGAATATGTCGCAAGAACGCTTCAAAAAAGGCACATAACAGCGATAAAACTTTGCAGTGAGTTAGCATGCCATTTTGGTTTTTGCCACAGAAACGTTTGTCCCAAACACATTCGTAAATTCCCCCCAAAGTTCCATGTGCCAGATATTTGGCACACCTTCAATAGCTTATCTGGTCCAGTGTATTTACCAGGTATCTCCTTGAATGTAACCTTTCTTCAAGTACCCTTAACATGAGAACATTTATTACCCATGTCCCCAAATTGTCTATCAATGCTTTGTGTGTTCATGTATCAAATGCTTGCTGTTATTTCCTATTGGTTGAAGCTCTGGCTATTTACAAAACAAAATATTGCCTTTTTCAAAAAACACGTTTTGCATAGTTGCCAAAAAAAAAAACGAAAGATGGAGTTATGCAGTTTGAGGGCTAGTTCACACCAGCAATGCCGCATGCACTATTTTTTCTCACTGCACCAGAGCGGAACGCAGGCACTGATATGCCACTCGTACCCATGCGTGGTTGCGGTGCCATTGAGTTTAATGCACCGTCAAGCCCCCTCCCACCCCAACACAAAGTGAGCAGCCAGAATGTGATCCGGTGCATTTCCGGCCAGAATCGGACCGGAACGCATTCAGGCTGGTGTGAACTAGCCCTGAGGCTATCATCGTTGTACCACTGTATAGCTTTTGTAGAGAAAACTTATTTGACAGTACTCCTACCAGTTAATATTGTTCCTGTCATTAATCTGTGACCATCTCTTTGTTCTGAACTTCAGGTAAAATGATCAAGTCTGTACCAGGCAAATTAATCAAAGAGGTAATTTCATATCTACTTCTTTCCCACTACACTGTTGCTTAAAGGAAACGTGCACTGTAAGAAATATGGACATTGCTATTTTAGCCTCTCATTCTGAAAATGCTAAATGTCGGGCCTTCATACTGATCCAGTGGTTGTGATACATTGAGTGACTGAACTGGAACAAGTATGCAGATCAGACTTGACTGTGGCTTTGTAACCTGTCTTCTTTTTTTCCCGACAATGATGTAGGAAGTAATGAACCTGGCAGAGCCAAGCAGCTAGCATTTTGTTTAGGATGAGGTCTGCATGGACAGCCTCCATACTGTAGTTTCCTCAATACAGGATTCCTTTACTTTGTTCCAGTGCTAAGTAGCATGTTCTTGTTTGCAGAAAGGACAACATCTGGAATTCTTCATTATGAACTTCATCAACTCATGTGAATCCCCAAAACCCAAACCAAGCAGACCGGAACTGACTATACTCAGCCCCACTTCAGAAAACAATAAAAAGGTGCGAAACAAGAACCACACTATGCTTCTTTGCCACCCTACGTTCTTGTTTTAAAATATTATATTTATTATGAGAGTTATCCTGGTTATTAGCAAAAAAGAACGGGGAAGGGAAGGTATATGCACAATATCTCTAATATAAATTAGATATAAATGGGGGGCCCCTAACTATTCAAAGTTATTTAGAAAAAGAAGTTTTCCCCAGGGAGAGGGGATCCCACCATTCTTTAGAAGGGAAGGTATATGCACAATATCTCTAATATAAATTAGATATAAATGGGGGTCCCCTAACTATTCAAAGTTATTAGAAAAAGAAGTTTTCCCCAGGGAGAGGGGATCCCACCATTCTTTACAAAATCTACGTACCAATTAAATGGTGAAAAAGGTATAAATATATTTATTCATTAAAAATCCATATTTCTAAGACTCTACGTACACAAAAAATCAGAAAAATACATTAATCAGACAAATAGATAAATATATATACACACAACAAACAGATAAATATACACAAAAATTAATGACTGCATACCGCCTATAAACTAATGAGTAAATGAGTGGGTTAATGAAAAAATGTTTTTTGACAATTAAGAGACATGCCGCTTAGAAAGCCAGATGTATTAGTTTTAACAAACTCTAAGCCAGTTCCAAAAGGCCTTATTGTGAAACAATCCAAGGCTTAAAAAGTATAGACATGTCTCGGGCGGAGCAGTCACGAAAGGAGGAAAGAGCCTGAACTGAACACCCGTGACGCGTTTCGCCCCTCCCACAAACGGGGCTTCCTCAGACAGGTGTATCCTGGTTATTACTATACATTGCCTCTGCATTTCTTGGCAAAAGTTTTTAGGTCTATGATATCATTGTGTTGCTATGAAAAAGGAGCACATTGCTTGCATAGTTGTTGAATCCCCACACATAAGCATGGCTCAGCTTTGTTCACTGTGAATCATTTTACCCCGTTCTTCTACATATGCTTGCCCCAGATTGTGTACTTTACTCAAATGACCCTTGTGAACCTAGACTCTTGCACACGGACGTATCGATTTTATGTAGAGCCAGAGTATACCCGCTTACAACAGCTTGACTTTAATGTGTGGCTGTAAGCTGCGCCTGGGAATCTCTGCTGCCGGGAATAGACCAGCATTTATAGTGTACAGGGCCTGGCGCCCGTGTGCAAGAGCTCAAAAAGTGCTGCAAAGAGCTGTAAAAAAAGTAATATTTGACATGAATTATGAAAAGGTACAAAACAATTGCTGGATCTACCTGGGTTTAGTTATCGGGAATTTGAAAACGAAAGTTTTCCATACACTAATAGATTACTTTTGGTCAGCCTGTTGGCTGAATGAAAGAAATGAACAGATTCCACTATCTACACTAAACCCCTGCCAGCTATTGTATTCTGACAGCCAGCACCTGCCTCTGTCAGAATACCTGAAAAGTGCATTCAGCTGATTGGTTGCAGTCACCGTTCAGCCCACAATTTTGGGCCTGTTTTCTGCGATTAAAGTTAATTGAGTAATGTGGCTGGGCCACTCTGTTATAATTTCAGCTGATTCACAGGGATTCTAACAGTATATGGCTAGCTTAAATCAAGCCAAATAGATACTGGTTAGATATTGATTGGTATCAAAACTATGTGCACAAATATAGAGGCAACTAAGAAATGCCTCAGACCACCTGGATGCTGACTAGAGAAAATAATTCTTCAAAATTGTTTGCTATACCAAAATATGGGTATTATATTGTGTTTGCGTGCACTAAAATTCATTTAAAGTGACATTAAACCCTCAGATTTTTTAACATAAACCAATACTGTAATGTGTGCCTTACTGTAATCCATGGTTGTTTCCCTTCTCTTTGCTGCTCTTCCTTTTAAATCTGTATCTCTTCTCATGCTGGGGAGACAAGGCAGCAGACTGCCTTGTCTCAGGAATGGATATATGGTGTCTGTGTGTAGGTTTGTATAGGCTTGTAACCTGAGCCAGCACTACAGGAAGAGGCCCTGAGCTGCAAAGGGAAGTTCTCCCCAAGCATGAGAAGACATGATGATTTAAAAGGAAGAGCAGCAAAGAGAAGGGAAACAACCATGGATTACAGTAAGGCACACATTACAGTATTGGTTTATGTTAAAAAAATCTGAGGGTTTAATGTCACTAAGTGTTTTTATTTTCCTAAAAATACTGGTTTGATAAACATTTGCGCAAATATCGTGCGACATAAAACAAAATGCAGCTATCATTTTTTTTTCTACAAGGCCACTGCTTTTAGAAAATATATACTTGTTTGGGGGTAAAAAGTCATTTTCTATCCCAAAATTCCGATTTTAGCATTTGTGTGCAAAAATTCCTAAAGTGGTTAAAGATGATGACATTTTCTGTTTCTTAGCTTTTTAATGATTTATACAAGAATAATTCGAATCGGTCTGAGAATGCGGAAAGAAAGTATAACCAGAATTACTTCATGGAGGTGATGACAGTAGAAGGAGTTTATGATTATCTTATGTATCTAGGTAAGTCAAAAGATGCAATAAACTGTTTTGTGCAAAACTGTCGTTCCTTTGCTTGAATTAGTCATCGCATCAGATGACTGATACATGCATACAGCAGAAGATTCTTTTGTCTTTCATGTAGTGGTATATGGTAATTACTCTTTCTGCATCTCTACATCTTATTCGATCTATAAACAGTATTTGCATGTACCGTATATACTCGAGTATAAGCCGAGATTTTCAGCCCATTTTTTTTTGCTGAAAAGTGCCCCCCTCGGCTTATACTCGAGTCAGCGTCATTTCTTCTTACTTACCTTGCCGAGCGTCGCGTCACTGCTGCTCCGGTGGGCGGCGTTCCGAGCGGGGTCATCTGGCAGTCTCCGGGTCCTAATTTAGGTGGCCGGAGACTGCCAGATGACCCCACTCGGAGCGCCGCCCACTGGAGCAGCAAAATTTTATTGGTATCTATCTAACAGTAGCTGCCTCATTTCCCACCCTCGGCTTATATTCGAGTCAATACTTTTTCCCAGTTTTTTGTGGTAAAATTAGGTACCTCGGCTTATATTCGGGATGGCTTATACTAGAGTATATACGGTAAGCAGACTGCATAAGACACCATGGGGTTGATTTATTAAATGAGTATAGGCTTTTCTCTGTGCACAGAGAATGTTGGTAAATAAGGTGAACCCATGTTCACTTTAACCAGTTGACATCCGCGGTGTTAAACCCCCTTCCCATCCAGGCCATTTTTCAGTATTCAGCGCTGCGGTACTTTGACTGACATTTATTCCGTCATGCAACGCTGTACTGAAATGAATTTTATATCATTTTTTGGGGACAGATAGAGCTTTATTTTGGTGGTATTTATTCACCACTGGGGGTTTTATTTTTTACTATATTAAGGAAAAATTACCAAAAAAAAAACTAGTTTACCCTATATTAAATGATAAAACATTTATTATTACCCAATTTTTTGGTAAAATATAAAAGACGGGGTCACGTCGGGTAAAAAGACACTAAACATGGCAAGCCTTAAAATTGCGCGCGCGCAAAACCTCAAAAAACGATAATACCCAAAATTGGCCATAGGCGACGCTTTAAAAGCTTTTACCGCTCATCAGTTTAGTGTTATCAGTGATTGATGGCCCTAAAATGATTGCTCTTACTGCGACGTTCGCGGCGATATGTAACGTGTGTAGCGCAATTGTCGTTTTTGCACGCTGGGGCATCGGACGCGTATTTACGTTTATAATCTGCTTCATCAGCTTCTTTTCTCTCTTTTCAGAGATCTGCTTCATCAGCTTCTTTTCTCTGGCTATAGCAGCCAGATGACTGACAGGTGAATGCGGAAGTAATGTAATACACATCACTTCTGCATTCACAAAGCAGAGGGAGGTCAGCAAAGAGCTGATCTCCCTTCCTCTTCCTCCTGACGCCCTCCCGACCAGATGGGGCAGCGGATCCTGGGATTGAAGGTGAGGGCAGACCGCGGGGGGGGGCGGCCGAAAAAACAAGCAGATATAGACGATCGATCGATTTTGCTAGCCTTTGATTGGGTATTTACAGTAAACACAGGGTCAACATATTTACAAACCTTCTCTTTTCACAGTGAACAGCCTTTGCTTCTTTAGTATAGCATGTACTTTAGAGATGGGTTTGATCTAATGAAAAGTGAAATTAGGAGCTGTGTGTGTGAACTGTAATTTCCTGCTCTTAATTGAGATGTTCTGAGCCGCGGAACAAACTTAACCTGAATTATCTGCTCATGTAGGCTGCACTGTCATTCATCATGGTGTAGTAGGGAAGGGACACAGTGGGGTGACTTTACTAAAACTGGAGCACCTGTGCATAGCAACCAATCATCTTCTTTCTTCACTTTGTTCAGTTAAGCTTTGAAAATGTTAGATAGAAAGAAACTGCGCTAGGAATCAAATAACACTCTAAGAGCAGCTGTGCTTAATAGGTGAGTACACCCAAAATAGGAAAAAAGAAAATAGCACTGCGCTTCAAACTCAAAAATTATATTCCTAAAATGTGAAAAAAATTGTATAAAATGTGAAATTGTCACAAAGGGATACACAATTTTGTGTCATACACAACACCTGTGTTGCACAATGCCTGTGCTGATGATAGTAAAAAAAAACCGTGCTAGTAAATCTCATAAAATGTGCACATATAGAAAATCCTGTGTTGAATCTCACAAGTGATGTATAACTCCCACCTAATCTGCATAACCATGTGTGAAGTCCATTACTTCTGGATACAATAAAGTCCTATGTGAGGATATATCTTCCTGCTTTTATAATCGACACCAACGTCCGTGAATGCAAAAACAATTAGTAAATCAGTGCTCTCCAGTCTCCACCGTGCTGAAAGATAAGATCTGGCCGCACTCACCGACTCCTATTGCTCACCATATTTCAGATGAACAATTAGTGCTTTGCTGATATATATAGAACCGAATCCTCTCCTTTGTTTTTAATCCGAGAATATATTGGAGTAGATTCCTCCCAATTCTGGCTTATCTTTCCAAAATCGTGTAACACTATTCCTCCATCTTCCACCTTCTCTTGTGCTCAGAGAGAGAAAAAAAGGCTTCCCATAGTGTAGTATGTCAGAATAAATTTATTTAAAACGATTAAAATGCACTTACAAATAAAATAAGGCAATTGCGTATGGATTGTGTCCACTGGAACTCCTGTCTCTATGATTGTAATGCTCGCATAGATCCGCCCACCTGATGCAGTGACGAAATGCATCAGCTGGGCGGATCTATGCGAGGTGTGTTTTGTTGTTATTTTAAAGATATGGGTAAAGGTCCACTTTAAACTTTTGTTTGGTTTGTTGCCTACCCTCCCCACCTCTGGTGCCCGGGGAAGTATTCTTTTCTCTAGGGCTTTATTTGCGAGGCTGGTGCATTTGACAGTACGAAGGTCTTTCAAAAACAGGATAGCACTGGCTTCTGAATAGAAAGCTTTTGCCCATGTGTGGGATTATCATGCTAACAATAGGTCCTGTGCATTTACATACTGTATATTCTTATATGATTTTACACTCAATGGAAAAAAAATAATTTCAATTACAGAAATATTGCTAAAGTATAACATTCCTGACCTCTAACCGTTATGGCTTGCCAACAGGCCGGGTTGTTTTCCACATCCCTGACTGGTTTCATCACCTATTAATGGGAGGAAGAATCCTGTTCAAAAACACACTTGAGACCTACACAGACCACTATCTGCAGTGTAAACTAGAGCAACTCAGACAAAAGCATCGGCTGGTGTCACTAATTACAACCACATCCCTGACTGGTTTCATCACCTATTAATGGGAGGAAGAATCCTGTTCAAAAACACACTTGAGACCTACACAGACCACTATCTGCAGTGTAAACTAGAGCAACTCAGCCAAGAGCATCGGCTGGTGTCACTAATTACACTTCTTAGAGGTATGTACTCTTTCTTCACAGTAAACACAGTCAGTACAGAATCAGACATTTCATAATATGTTAATACTTAAAGCTCTGCTACAGGCTTTAAGTGCATCAGGCTTAGTCTGTGTAAGAAAATATGGAGGCTGCACACCAGAATTTAACTTTGTTCAGTTTCTCCCTCTGATGTGTTCTACTTCACTTTAAATGAGCTTAATCAAAGAGTTGGAGGAGACAGGAATTTAGGATATACTAAAAGTAATAAGTCAAAAGTTATTACAAATACTGATTACATCACTTACAATGGATGATGCTTCTTGAAGTTTAAACGTTTGTTTCTTCTGAATCAGATGATCTCCTGAGCACTGGCCCTGACATCCTGTTTTAGGGTGGCTCCTCTCTCTTTTGCAGTTTCCTACAGAGCCACCCTTGTGTGCTAGTAAGCTGTTTTTGTCTCCACAAGGGAGAAGGGCAAGTCATTCTCCTGCTCCCCGCTCCTCCATCCTTCCTTTCTCCAAGCTAATGGACAGCAGCTGGAAACTCCTCTGTCCCTTCTGAGCTTGTGAGCTTGTACCAGACAGGAAGTTCAGGGAAGCAGAGCTGAGAGAGATGGAGCCAGCTGTTTGGAAACACGACTGTAAGTGCTTGGACAAACATGTAAAGAAACACTGTGCTAGATACAGAATAAAAATATTAACCTTCATAAACTCAAACCTGGACTTATTGGTTTCAAACATTTCAAAAACGGTGTATCAGATGTCTCCAAAAGTTTAATTCACATCTGCTAACCCTCTACCATTCTTTCTGCCTAAAATCATCAGAAACTTTCTGGTAAATAATAAAATATCTAAAAAAAACAAACAAATGTATACACTTATAATATTATGAAACCGAAATATCTAAAATCTTGGTTTCTATTACCCTGCCTTGTCATCAGTGATTCCTCCTGGCCCAAGTAGATGTGGCAGGGGCATTCCCTGGCCTGCAACTACACATCACAAATGGGTAAGGTAGTACCCCAGCCATAACTGATTTGGCTGGGGGGTGTATTGACAGTTTTGTGTGGGCTTGGGTGAATTCAGGTGAACTGGGTTCACACTAACCCCCCCACATCACTACTTGCCATATTCAGAAACCTATTGACAGAGAGGGTGGCCATCTTCTGGTGGATGGGGCAAATGAGAGAAAAAGCTCTGAATAAGCTCATACAGAGTATTATTATTATACAGGATTTATATAGTGCCAACAGTTTGTGCAGCGCTTTACAATATAAGGAAGACATTATAATCACAATGCAATTCAAGACAAAATGCTAAGGGCTTACAATCTAAAAGGAGGTGTCCAGACAGGCTGCAAGTTGATTCTGTGTCAAAGTTGTTCAGTGTTTACATTCTGGTGTGAGGCCTCCATGTTTTCTAACACTTGATTTATGTCACCTTACCATGTCCTTTATCACAGATTTGAGAATAACATTCCAAATCTTACGCTGCATGGGGCATTTTTCAAACTTTGTTCTTATTTTTTTTTAGATGCTGTGTTTTGTGAAAGTACAGATCCACGGACTGCAGCAGCTAAGCAGAAGCGGGCTAAGCAGACTTTCGATGAAATGATGACCTACATTCCAGGTTTACTTTCTTGTGTGATATTTACCGTATTTTTCACTCCAAAAGACGCACTGTTTTTCCCCCAAAAGGAGGGGAAAATGTGTCTTATGGAGCGAATACCTATCGCCCGACGCCCGGGACATGCAGTTTCGAGGCCCCGGCGAGTATTTTTTTTGTACATTCAGCCCTGCTCCTGACGAGCAGAGCTTGAATGTACAGTGGGAGCCGCTGCTCGTTTAATACAAGTGATCTAATTAGATCACTTGTATTAAATCGATCGTGTCTGCCGCCGTGGTTTTCGGGGTCAAGCAAAACAAACGACAAACGCACTCTACAGTAAAGCAGTAGAAAGGCATCATGGCACACTCACAAACCAGCATTTTTTGCTGGACCGATTTGGTGCAGCGACGCATGGGGTTTCTCAGCTGCCATTGGGATGTGCGGGATCCCTTGTGTGTTTCTGTGCTTTTAAGGAGGCTGGGCGTCCTCCTGACAAACCTGCACCCAATTTGAAATCTTCTGCCCCAATGTGCTCCAAGATGGAGACTCTCATAGTTTAGAGTTAGGACCGCACTATAAGAGGTGCCTTGGCGCGGCAGTGCGGCTTTCACATCCTCTGCAGAAGACGTGTATCCAAACCTCTGTTATTATCCTTAGTGGTGAGACAAGTTGTTTTACATGCTGGTTTGTGAGTGCGCCATGATGCCTTTCTACTGTTTCACTTCTCGATCCTGTCGCTGCAGAGAGCCGTGACTGTCATTCACGGCTCTCTGCAGGGATTCCCCGCTCCGATCCTCCAGCGCTGACTGGCGGAACGGACAGGGGAGGGGGCGGGTACAGCTAGCTCTGCCTATGGATAGGCAGAGCCAGCTGTCAATCACGCAGCTGGGTGGATCTCGACAGCAATGTCGGGATCCATCCCGGCTGCAGCGTCTCAGTATACCGCGAGCTGAGCTTTGGGTGACGGGAGGACGCTAGTTTGTGTCCTCCCGTTACCCTTATGAGAACTATGGGGAAAAGCCCTGACCTTTTATATTGCTCCTTTCAGTTACCGAGGCAGTGCTGTCAATTCAGAAATTGGTGGACATGGCTATAAATCTATATCCAGGATAGAATGTGTGTGGCTGGATAGTTATGTTAATATATTATCCTGTGTATTTAACTTTGGTTAATCAGCATGATGTCCAGCAAAGGCTTGGAGGAAGCCTTTGTGTGTCCTGACCACATGATCAAAAACTACAGAGAAGACAATAAAGCTTCCTGTGTACATGTGCCAGGAAAAACACTAATCAAAATCTCTGACCTAAAGTCCATTGTGTGCACAACATGACAGCTGTGCATGATCACTGCAGTGTGACTTTAGTGGTATTGCCTAATCACTATACTGCTAACAACTTGTATGGGAAGACTGTGAGTAATGAAGCCACTAACTCAAAATAATGGTCTTTATTATTCATGCTTTTGTTATATGTGTAATCCTCATATGTTTTATTTCTGGATAGATTTAATAGGAAAATGCATGGGCGATGAAGCCAAGTATGAAGGCGTTAGATTGCTGTTTGATGGTTTGCAGCAACCTGTACTTAACAAACAGGTAATCTGATACAAATATACAAATACTAACACTATGTACAGTTTACGTTCACACTGATCAAATGACAAGAGCGTGCAGTGCTTATGCCCTCAATGGGTGGTGTCTTAAGGGTGCCAGTATCGATATGGGTTTGGGACCTCCATTGTTGCAAGGTCTAAGCACCCACGCTTTTTGTGTGACCACTGCACAAAGACTGCTACCCTCACCCTGCGCAGAGGTCCAGCTCTGCAGCTCAATGCTGAGACACAGGACTTTAGGCTGCAGATTATGTCCTTCATTATTGTTCACACCATGTCCCTTGAACTGCATTTTTCAGCACACCTCTGCACATGTATGGTGTGAACAGGGCACATAGAACACAATTGTTTTCTACATGCCCGGTGTGCAGAATCACGCAGCTCAATGGGAACGGTGTGAACAAACCCCAATAGTAACACTATGTGATTACTTGCAGAACTCTGGGTTAACTGTTTTGTCCCTGAAGAAGCAGCCGGGATTAAAAATCTAACTTTTTCTTAGCAGCCAAACTGTTTATTTGATCTAGCATCATGGAACTCTTGTATCCCTCGGAAACTTGCCTCAATAGATTGAAATAACATTTACGTTACAAAGCCCTTGCTATAAAGTGGAATACATTTTTTAACCAAAATTGTATGCTCTCTATTTACATTTTGCATAAAGTTTGAAAGTCTGTTTAGCTATAGAAGAATGCTTTATTATTTCATATGGTTCATCTTAATATAAGAACAATATATAAATAGTGTATAATAATGGATTTTCTTTTCTTTCAGCTGTCCTATGTTCTACTGGATATTGTAATGCTTGAGATATTCCCAGAACTCAACAAGGTACTGTATACATTTGTACTTTAAGGATCTTAGGTATGTACACTGTACAGCATTAAAAACTGTTGAATGCTTAAATTGGCCTATACTGTTAATGAAACCTGAAAAATCAGGTCAAAACCACTTACAGGCTTATTCACAAAAGGGGGAAGAGTTTGGAGAAGGCAGGAGAAGTGAACAATCTAGGACAGTGATGGCAAACTTTTTGAGCCCGAGTGCCCAAATTGGATCACTAAACCAACTTATGCGCCTCAAAGTGCCAACCCTGCAATTAGACCTGAATACTAATGATTTCTTTCAGAAAACACTTTATACGACTGTCTGAACTAATTATGTGCTTAAATCTTAGAAGAAAATACAATACAAGAGGTTTTACCTAAACTACAGAGTGACATGTACCTTGGTACTGTGCTAATGAGTGAAGTGTTCCATTGCAGTGTGCTACTAAGGTACATGTCATGCAGCACAATGCAAGAGAACAGTCTTTCTACACCTTGGAGTCAGTGATGGAGCACCAGGGTCCAGTACAACTGTGACCCTGGTAGCTCTGCCACTAACTGCAACTTGTAAAGGAACTAATCTCCGCAATACATTATACAGCAATGCAGAATACAGTCAACTATAGAAGACTACAAATCCCAACAATACATTACACAGCAATGCAGAATACCACAAACCATAGAGGACTACAAATCCCAGCAATACAATATACAGCAATGCAGAATACCACCAACTATAGAAGACTATATATCCCACCAATACATTATACAGCAATGCAGAATACAGTCAACTATAGAAGACTACAAATCCCAACAATACATTTAACAGCAATGCAAAATAATATGAAGCTACAATACCCTGTGTTGCTCCGGGGTGGCAGCCTGATGTCTTCAGGGTCTCTGGAGGGCTCTCAGGTGAGCTGTGCCGTTCTCACATGGACTCTTAGGTGGGCTGTATTGGCTCTCAGGTGGGCTGTATATCTCCAAGGTGGGCTGTATGGGCTCTCAGGGGGCTGTTCGGCTCTTAGGGGGGTATTCTGAAGCCCTTTGAAGGTATCACTTCCAACACAGCTGCAATAGCCTTCCAACACAGCTGCAATAGCCTGTGCTGCCGCTAATGCAAGCCTTACATTGGTGGCAGTGAAAGGGTTTAAGGATGCTATTGGAGGAAAAACCTTCCCTACCAGAAGAATTTCAAGGAGCAGGTGGTAGGTCCTTAGCTTCCACAATGCAACCCCCCTCAAGGCTCTAGCTTTGATTCCTGCTATCTAGTTGGTTTCTAACAAATCTCTTCTTAGCAGCTTGCTGATCTTCATTGCATGATCTCTGGAATTTAAGACCAAAGGGTTTTAACCTCTGTCCCTTTTGCAGAAAGGTGTAAGGGTTTTTACTCCAACCTGTTCACTTTTCCAAACTCCAAAGAGTACATTCAGCCCATCTTGGACCTCAAGGCCTTTAATGTTTACATTCGGGACATAAGTTCCAGATGGAATTCACCAGATCTCTCATTGCTTTCCATCACCAGAGGGAGTTCCTAGCGTTGATGAACATACAATATTCTCAATTTTATGTGCCTGTCTTTCCAGCTCACCAACATTTTCTGCACTTTGCTGTAGGTCAGGCATAGGCAACCTCAGCCCTCCAGCTGTTGCAGAACTACAAGTTCCATGAGGTATTGCAAGTGTAACAAGCCACAGGCATGACGGAATTTGTAGTTGCACCACAGCTAGAGTGGTGAGGTTGCCTACCCCTGCTGTATGGCCTCTGCACTACTAGTTTGTGCAAAAATCAATGCACATTTTTAATTTTTTTATTTTTTTTTAGCCTCAGAAAGAGATTTCAACAACACCAGCCTGGATGTGAAAAAGAAAACTGAACTGAATGAATATGCTCCTGCACTGATTTGCTTGTTTTAGTAAAGTCATTTCCACTTCTTCAATTTCCTTGGGGACAATTACCTTTAAAGTTGAACATCAGCCAACACTTTTTGTAAAAGTAAATGCAAATGGGTCAGCTTCACTGAAACCCCACCCCCACATTGTCAGATCACCTACAGAGGCATTTCAACAAATAAAGGAATTGAGAAGAAAAAATAAAAAGTACTTACCTTGGCCAGTTCCCTCTGGCATAGATGACATCGCCATGTTGCACCACTACCTCCCAGGAGTGCTCAAAATCCTGCAAAAATGCGCCCCTGCATTTGGGTTATCCCCAAAAACTGAAAACAGTTTGGTTGGAGATCCACTTGGTCACCTTATTTTTGTGTGATATGTAAATTGTTAGTAAATGTGATGTTTTTGTGTATATTACTTTGTAAATATTTTCACTGTAAACTTATTAAAACTAATTTTAAAGAGTAAAACTCGTATTAGTGTATATTTGTGTTTTGGGTTATTGTCCTATCGTTCCTCTGTACTACCTGGCTGGATGATTTGTAAAGCTCATCTTTGTAGTGGGTTATGCCATGTTATTAATGTTAAATCTCAATTGCAATATTTACCTAATAGTGAACTAACTCTCTCTGAGCACATTTATAATGATCTATAAGATAAAGATGTGAGAGATCAGTGCCACACTCAGCTGTAGGAGTGGTAGAATAACATTCCTAGGCTCCAGACAATATAAAAAAACAAAACCAACACTAGAAATTGCACTAGATCTTCACAAACCCCTTTTAATAAATACCTTTTGGGTAAAATCCCAACAAGAGTCTGCAAATGCAGCAGGTTTAAACATCGCTGCCAACAGATAACACTTTTCCAGGTCTTTCATACCACATCGCAACTTTTTTTTTTTTTTTTAAAGAAATTCCTGGTCTTCTGCTTCAAGTGTCCAGATAACATACAAGTGAGCTTTCATCACTCCACACCTATAGTTCAGCCTCCTGCTCTGCCCCCTAAATGCTGGATAGAAAAACCAATGGTAGGCAAAGTGAGGGAAACAATGGTGCAGACCAAATACTGCATGCTACTACAAATTTGATTTATTATACTCACTCACACAGTGTCAAAAGTCAAACGGCTCATCACAGTTAAAACACTTTATGTGGATTTCGCCTACCTGCTTCTTTAAAGGAGAACTATGAGGTGAGGGATTTTCACTCATCCTCCTAGTTCTAGCCGACCTGTGATAATGAAACTGTCACAGGTCGGCTCAGTAGATCGGAAAGTGAGCTCACTTCTCAATCCTGTCACTGCAGAGAGCCGTGACAGGAGAGGGACTGGATTCCCCCCTCCCCTGTCCGATACGCCAGCGCTGACTGGCGGAACGGACGGGGGCGGGTACAATTGCACGGCCATTCAACCCTCAAAAATGCATGTACATTATCTGTAAAAAAATAAGTCAAGGCAACTGGCCTTGCTGCATTTTTCTTGAAGACGTTTCACTGGTCATCCGACCGGCTTTCTCTAGATAAGCAGAGCCAGCTGTCACTCACGCAGCTGGGTGGATCCAGACAGTAATGTCGGGATCCAATTCAGCTCCGGCGTCTCAGTATACTGCGAGCTGTAGCTTGCGGTATACTGAGCTTTGGGTGACGGGAGGACGCTAGTTCCCGTTACCCTTAAGAGAACTATGGGGAAAAGCCCTAACCCCATAGTTCTCCTTTAAGGATCTGCACTGTTGCCTACACTCTGCATGCAGCCTGTGATTCCACCCAGAAAAAAAATCTTAAAAGCAGAGCAGGAGGCAGTTTTCTTACAAACACAATGATAGGGGTGGAGGACTGAGAGCTGAATTGTGGCTTACCAGAGGAAAACAAATACTAAGCAGACAGTCCAACTTTAAAGTAGGACTAAACTCCCCCAAAGAAGAAAATATGATTTCCCCTAAATTGGTATTGTTTGCGATTTAAGGAGTGTATTTATATAAAAAAATCAGAGCCATTAATCTGAAACTGCCATGTACATTCCTTTTGTGTAAATGGGGCAAAATGAATGTTGATAGTATATTTTTTCTTTTTCCAGCTCAAATGTAGCATCAGGAAAATACGGCATTATGGCAACTAGATCGTTCTGATGATCATAGGAAATAAGTATTTATTCCTATGATCCTCGGCTCCATCAAACTAATCTTATGAAGGAATTACATTTGACCAGGAAAGAAAGTGGGCAAATACCATTCATTTTAGCCCCCATTCACACAGAATGAAAGTACGCATCTTAGACAGGGAGGAGGAATGGTTTAAAATGAAATCAACAGTGGGTTGTGACTTACAGATTATGTGGATTGGAGCGACATTCACCATATTTATTCGCAGATAATTTTTGTACAAGTCATTCTGAATTGAGAAAGCTGGTCGGATGACCAGTGAAACGTCTTCAAGAAAAATGCACCAAGGCCAGTTGCCTTGACTTATTTTTTTACAGATAATGTACATGCTGTTTTGAGGGTTGAATGGCCGTGCAATTGTTTTATAACCACACCCTTACGTACTATTTTATCAGCACCTCAAACAGCCAATTGTTCTGCTTTCCTCAATTAAACCTATTGAAACTCTATTGTCACTAGCGTGAAGCTGGTGTTATTTTATGGCGTCCTAACCTGTGTGTCAATGTTTGTAAATTGCCTTTTACACTCATTTTTATCATAACACTGACAGTACTATAATAGCAGGATATTGGTAAACTTCCCGTACTTACAGAACAGGCTAAATAAAGTGTGCTATAGAGGTACTGAGCATGTAGAGATATGGGCTATAGAAGTTGTGGTATGAAGAAGATAACGGCAGGACGGAAGATAACCAGTTTTGTAAATTAGGTCAAACTATTTAAAGTAGAACTCATGATGTGAATGCCACCTCCAGGATCGCTGCCTTCCTTAACATTTACTGTTTTATCAATGCTAGATAGCATAGCTCTCACTATACTTCTGGCTCCCTGGCTATGAGACCTATATCTCATGTGAATTAACTATTTGGTAGATTGAAGAAAATAGGTCACCAGCACTCCATAAGTTAAAATGAATGAGTCCTTTTAATGGACAACTATTTGGTACACAGCACATTTTAATAAAAAATGTCCCATGAAGTTCTTCTTTATAGCCAGAAATCAGTCTACGCAGCCATTTCTGTATATAGACGGGTACACCTATTCACAATTTCTGCAGGGTTGTCTTAAAATGATCATATTAAAGTCAAAATGTTTTAAGCTATTTCAAATGCTGATTAACTCCCTTACAATGGATGCTGCTTCTTGGTGTTTCCAAGTTTTTAGTCTTAGCTTCCTGCAGAATCAACTGGTTCCCTAAGCACTGGCCCTGATATCCTGTTTTAGGGTGGCTCCTTTTGCATTGCAGGGTCCTATGGAGCCACCCTTGTGTGCTGTAGTAAGCTGTGTGTCTCCACAAACACACAGGCACAGCTTGTAGATGAACACCTTGCTGGAGTCTGCACTGTCCTTTGTGATCTTGTACTGGATAGGAAATTCAGAGCGGATGAGCTGAGAGAGTTGGAGGCAGCTGTTTGGAAATATGATGATTGAAGGTGCTTGGGTTGTATAGTCTTGTGTACAGGTGATGATAAAAACAAGTCATCCAAGAACCACATGCACACACAAATAATTGCATCTTCCATCCTGCTTGAAAGATGTCAGGGTGCACTTCTGATGGGATAAAAGTTATTAAAAGCTTATACCAATGCCAGATATGGCTCATTTTGGACCTTTTCTGACAATCTATGTATAATAATATTATGTATATAATAATGCATCTGGACATCAATTTCATTACATATGTGTTCCTTTTCTATGTGGTGCAGTTTCATTTATATTCATGCTGTTATTTCAGTTTTCTAGTTTTCCAGAGTGTGGTTTGGGATTACATAGTTTTGTTGTAAGCAGTTCCTGCCTTGTTACTTCTATGAACTATTTTTGATCATACTGAGCTTTGCCAGACCTAGAAAAACTAGCAGACTTGCCCAGATTCTTGACAATGAAGCAAGAAACAAAACACACAAAACTGAAATCACTTGAAGAGCTTTCAGTGTAAGAGAATAACTGAATACATTTTAAAATATATGTCTCCTCATATATCTTTGTTCTGTAACTTTATTCAAAAATAATTTTATGAAAGAAATAATTTCTGAAAATTTTATAATTAAAAATAGCTGAGTTTTTTTTTAACGTATCCGTTATGAGACGAGGGCTGAAAATGCTCTTTGCTTTGTTGTCATACTGATGTCTTGTCCTTAAATGTATGTCAGGGCAATGTAAAAAAAAAAACATATTTGGTTTATCTCTGCAATATATGCACATTTCCAATGTTTTATACATTTAAACATGCTGCAAGTGCAGAAAAATAGCTGTTGATGCGACAGAAATAAATTGCGTTCCTTCCTTACTGTTTTAGCTGACAACACAATAAAGGGAATTTATTAAGACTGGAGCAGTCAGAATCTGGAGCAGCTGTTCATGACAACCAATCAGCTTCTCTCTCATTTAAAGTTTAATCGAACAAACTGAAGAGAGATTGGTTACTATGCACATCTGCTCCAGATTCTGTCTGCTCCAGTTTTAGTAAATTCACCCCAGTGTATTTTCAGCTCTGAATTCCTAAGCACATGGTGTCAGCTCCTTCTACTTCATATGTGTTGGATCAACTCATAAGATTTCTGTCAGGATCAACATTTTTTTTTGCTTTTAACAAACATATATAACAAAGCACTTTTAATGATTTATTTAACATGCCAACAGGGAGCAAAGAAATGTATTGTTCAGCTTTGTTTAGAAAAGGGGATGGCCCCCCCAAAAACCCTTACAAATATGGAAGTAATAGTTTTGTAAGGACAACATAAATGTATTAACGCAAACCTGTCAATAATGAAAACAATTCCCTTCAACACACGCACTCTCCTTATTTAACCCCTTCATGACTGAGGCCTTTTTTTCATTTTTTGTACCCATGTTAAGCATGCTGACTTGTGAGT